CAACATCAAATTTAAGAGAAAATCAACTGTTATAAGATAACATATCATCCTAAACAACTGAAATAGTGAGGGATAACTTATGAAGATTAAAAAATATTTATTGATTCAAGCTATAAAATATAACAACAAGAACGTTGTCAACTTTACTTTGAGTACCTTTAATACATTAGACAAAATGTTTTCATATTTAAAAAAAGAAAAATCTGTCAGGAGTAAAGACAATAAATACTTAAATGATGCTCTTACATATGCTATGGAAAGTCTTAAAACTGACATAGTAAAATTGCTTGTTAATGCAGGAGCTGATGTCAATTTACTTGATAAAAATAAGAGAAACGCTATAATACATGCTGTTGAAAGACTAGCGATCTCAAGAAATTTGATATTAGATCCATCAAAAAACTTGCCAGAGGAGATGATCTCTCACCCTATAATAGAGTTCTTATTAGGAAAAGGTTCTGAATATGATCATACAGATGAAATAAATACTAAAAAAAATCATAAGACCCCCTGCAAAACGAGGAAAAAAGTAGAAAAACAAAAAAAAGCGTATAAAATGAGAGTTTTANATGGATGATGAGATTATTTATGCTGAGATAGATGATTTTCAGGACATTGATCCTTTACTACAAGGTAGCAATTTATCTTCTAGTATAAGAGAAAAATCTAAAACACAGGACAAGTCATCAAAACAAGAACCTATCTATGCTAAAGTAGACCTTGATACAAAAAGAAGGGCAAGAGAACAAAAGGCATCTGAAACACAAGGCAAGTCTTTAGAACAAGAACCTACATATGCCAAAGTAGATTTTGCTGCAAAAAGAATGGCAAGAGAACAACTAGCAGAAGATAAAAAATCAAAACCTGTCATTGTAAGTATTCACTTCAAAGATGGCAGATATGTTTCTTTAAATCATAACCCACCCTTAATACCGAAAGATGCAGACAATATATCCAATGACAGTGATTTTAGTGCAGAAGAACCTTATAAACCTCAACAATCCGTAAAAAATGAAATTTTAAAAACACCCCCTGTTACAGACATTCCTTGCTGTAAAAAGGGACTAGTACAAGAAAGAATAAACCATTTCAAACAACTGAACGAACAAGCACAAAAAATAGAACATAAAACTCGTCTCACACAAATAACGCACCGAACTGCTCGCACGGGTATGACGAGGGGATAAATTCATTTGACTTATTTTACTAAACATATAAAATAAAATT